CGAACGCATTAGTTGCTTAAAGCAATCAGCTGAATTCGTACCCACGAGTGCTTTAAATATCACGATGTGATATTTGTACACGTCACCCTATCCGAAGCAAACCTTCATCATGGATGAACATCACGAGATTATTGACAACTGCTCATGCTAACCATGGTGAAGGGCCGTCCAAGCACAAGTACTTAGATACTTGGATGGTCCGCCTTCACTGGTTGTGCGCGCTCCAGCACAATCTCCACTTTTTCAGAACTTTGCTTATTTTACCATTGTGGTTCGCTAGAGTTCCAAGGCTACTTCAGCCAAAGTTCTCCCTCAGGGCGTCCGTCACCACAACAGGCAGTGGCTGCCTTTGTGGACCAGAGGGAGATTTGCCACTTTGCGACTAGTTTCATACCAGGACATTGCTGGATCCTGGTATTGGTTTACTCTTAGCTGGGCTTCCTAATGAAAACTTCAGACTCCTCAGCTAGGCCTTGCTGGAAGGATGACTTCCTCCGCTGCACATAGTAGCCCGACACCCAGGAACATTCCCAGCCACGATGAGGCGATAAATCGTTGAGGCGAGTATCCAAGTAGGTATGTATTTCTCTCTTCAAAGGAGGGATTAGCCAAGGCGATAGCATCTCGCAAAAATTATTTGCCGCCACTCTCCAGAACGCCATGGGAACATTGGAATGGGATAATATAGGAGTGAAAATCGATGGTCGGCAGTTACACCACCTTCGCTTTGCTGATGATATCGTCCATACAACACCAAATATTAGCCAAGCGAAACGTATGCTTGCCGACATTGATAGAGCCTGTAGAAAAGTTGGTCTTTCACTGTATCTCACAAAAACGATGTTCATGAAGAACGGATTGGTTTCGTATGCCCCTTTCACGCTCAACAGAACGAATATCTCCGAATGCTCTAGTTATGTCTACGTAGGTCGAGAAATCAATATGATGAGCGACTTAGCTCCAGAGTTGAAACGAGCGGCTTGGGGAGATTTTAAGAGCATCGAGGATGTAATGAAGAGGATAAAGAACACCCGACTCCGAGCCCACCATTTCGACTCAACGGTACTTCCTGCCCTAGCGTATGCGTCAGAAACCTGGTCGCTGCGTAAGCAGGATGAAAGGTCGCTTAGCGTTGTGGGACGCGCAGTCGAAAGGACGATGCTAAGAGTATTCCATTCTACACAAGTAAGGGATGGGATCCAAAACTCCGACCTGCGTCAACGATCAAAAATCAAAGATACCCTTTTCTACGCCAAACAGTCGAAGGTAACGTGGGTTGGGCACGTAATGCGTGTGAATGACAACGATGGACAAGAGCCGTTGGTGACTGGATTCCTCGGGATGTCAAACGCACTGCAGGAAGGCCACCGACTCGATGGTCAGAGTTCTTCACAGAAAGCCTTGAAGAAAGATATGATGCTCGACGAGTCTCTAGAGCGAGCAGAACCCGCTAGGCCACTCTTACGCGCGGCAGGGAGAAATGGAGGATTTACTGGCGCCCGCTCGAGGCAGTAGACGATGAACGTGACTACAGGTGATAGAGGTGTTGCATGTTCTGGCATACGCACACGTATGTACATATAAATTTGCAGATAAATATATAGACACGGTGAAAGCCTACAACCTACCATGGATGAGCTAGGAATTCCCGATTGTTGTTAAGAGCGGCCAACGAAAGACACGTCTCGTTGCCCCAATTAGTGAGTTCATAAGTGAGAAGTTGCAGCGTAATATCTTTATCCTGTTCGGTACAGTACTGTAGCAATTCGATGGATAATTTTCGAAATTTCCTCAAAAGTTAATGATCTGTTATCAAATGCACATCAAAATGTTGATAGTATTCCCTAAACAGTTGAAAAGCACCGTCTCACTCGCTGTTTTTTCTCAATTCATCGCAAATTTCCAACTCCAGGTAGTTCTGTGATGCATCGTTTGCTAGTGAATCGTAGAGTCTGCACGCAACGAGCGACTGAAATCTAGAAACATGAAGTGCTCATAACGTTCTAAAATGACGAAGTTTTAGATAGCTAATCAATATTTGTCTTTATTGATAAGTGTACGCGAGATTGTTGGACAATTTCACAGTGGTTAACGTTTCAGCCCCACCAAGTTCAGCGGAGACATAATGAGTCGCCTGTAGTCGCTACAACAGTTCCTTTTTGTTACTACATGAATTTTAGCATTCGCTTAACGACAATATAGTTAACATTTTCGTGCTATTTATAGGGACAATTTACAGGTTATCAATGAACAAAGATTGCCCATGCAGAGTTTAGATAAACGGTGGTATTGAAATTACGGGTTTGCTACATTCCAGATAGCCTAAACCTGAATATTATAGGATACATTTTCACCATGAATACGGATTATATTGAATGTGAATATATAACGATACATCGAGATCTATCCTCTGTAATACGTAATGGACGATGCACACTTTTACACAATCACACGCCGCAACCAGACCGGCCGCTGAGAGCTAAACGTCATTTTCTTTCAGATGGTTTCTTTTAGCGCACAGAATTCATTCCCAGCATTTCCTCTAATCGATTGATAGCTTATATAATCTAGATCTGTTGGCGGCTGTCGGCACGGAAAAGCACGACTCTGCACTTAAAAGTATACAAGAAGCCTTTTCTTAAACAAGTTCATTTACGGGTAATTTAACTCCTATCCCCCATATAAACCATAAAAAAATACTGGACCAAACGGCCATATAGACACCATATTGTTTGTATTGACTTTAGTGTGTTCCAGATATTTTTCCCGCGCTATGTGTATTCTATAAGAATGAATTCAACGATATCAGCAACTTTCGCTCAATCTTATTGCTGTCTGTAGTCTATATATTTTTTACTCGCTTCATGGTAAACAGTATTGACAGAACACTGAACGAAGGAAAGCTATGTGAGCAAGCAAGGCTTCGAAAAGGATTCAGTACAATGGACCACATCCATAACAACATGACTCATTGAAGTATCGACAGAGCACAAATGACCGCTCGATCAATTTAAAGGTTTTCGATTCAGCTGAAATAAAAACGGTCATGGAAACCCTGGGCAATGAGGGAGTAGTCCCTACTCAGTATATAAAGATTCTTCGTGAGTGTATAAAAAAGGCGAAACCAAGATATCCCATTCTATAACGATATTAACATTGATATCAAAAGATGGATTAGGCAAGGCGATACCATCTCGCCAAAATTATTCGCGGTGAAACGGTATATGAGTAAAACCTAAAACCACGAGAGGAAATCAAAGAAGAAGTAACTGGTCTAAAGGAGCGCCATCGAAAACTTCGTAATTGAAGCGTTCCATCACCAACATAAAGCTTTCGTGGTATTTTTTAAAATGACCATTGGAAGAATGCCAGGAATCCTACCATCTATATATTTCAAAAACCGACTTTCTTTTAACCTTAGCTTGACTAATCGACATGTATTCTTTAATTGGTAGGCGATAAGCTCTGTTCGACTAACATTTCGGTGTCTTTGCCTTCTTCAGGGCTGGATTGATTCGTGTCGTTTTGTCCACAGTTGTTCTTTCCTCCGATATCGATTCGTTATCGCAGATAGAGCACAGGTGGAATGAAGTGACCTCACTTGGCGTGCTCTTTTAAAAGGAAAATAAGATAAAAAAGCACTGTCGAGTGAGATTACCTCATTCGAGCGGTGCACCGCTAGATTCGACTCGACTCGATCACGAAGAGCCACATCGGAAAAGGGAACAACTGTGGACAAACGACTCGAATCAATCCGACGCTGCAGAAGGCGAAGGCGCCAAAATTCCAGTTGAATAGATCTCCTTTATTTTAGATCTACATTTCCAGCTAGGATCATAAATATGAATACAGGTACAGCCTTGGCACCATAGAACATTATAGTTGCCGTTACACGAGCTAGTAGCTGAAACCTATACAAATTTTTGCGCAGTACACACCAAAACTTATATTTAAAAAAGTGGTGTTAAGTGTTAAAACAGCAAAGATCGCTTGCACATTCATTTTGCTCTTGAAAGGTGAACGAGCGAATATTTGGAAATACCGTCCTATTGACAGAGCATGGCACTGACATTAACTCTCATATATGGACTACATAAATTACACCTAGGTTTCAAAGTACCAGCCGTGACCCTCATTGTTCGCATTTCTCTCTCAATGCTCATCGATGAGGAATGGATAAGAGCCATTTCAAAAAGGTTTTAGCTTGATTTTGCGATAAATATAGACGCTTTTTTATTTATTCCGCTTTTTTATTGCATTACTATACTTTTAGTTTTATACTGATATAGTCATAGCTTGTGCACCAAGTTATTCATCAACTCACGGTTATGAATAGCAAGTCGATAGACTAGTAATGAAAAATAGAGTTGACGACATTGCTGTCTTGTACAAACCGAGAACTGATGCACGGACGATCACCACAGGTTCAAGTGAAAAAGGGAAGGAGTGCGACTGTGAAAGAAGGAACCGCGAGAAAAGCAGTTCATGAAGACCTAGCATACAGTTATCGAATGAACGTTATAAATGTTTTAAAGAACCAACTTGGGTTCCACAAGAAATAATCTTAAATAAGTGAGGAATCCAAGCGTACGTGTTCAAGACGATGGATCTACCAGAGGTTAGTCTCTACGGTACATTAAAATATGAAAACCTAAAAATCGTTAATAAATACTACCAATGACACCACATGGACGCATTCGGCGTGGTGGTCGGAGGCGGCTTGTAGCACACACGTGGAATCGACCTCCGCGCCCGTGGCACACCGAGCCTTCCATCCCTTCGGGGTAGGCCAATTGGTATCAGACTTATCTGCGAAAATAGCAGCACTGGCTCGATACATCGGCAGTCTACCGTGAGTCATTGTAAAACCCAGATATGCATTCAGTGACCTCCAAACGATGCTTAATGAAGTCGAACGCATTGCGCATCACTCAGGGATTGTTCAACGCCGAGAGGTTCTTTTTCTTACCAATGACAATCGAGCTTTGCGTCATTCAAATTTATCCGACCTCTGAAACATGTTCATATGATTCGTGAAGAAGAGAACTCACTTTAGCCATAGCCTCTTCACCATGCTTCCACATTAACATTGCCATTTTTTGACGTTTAGTTAAAATAGACCAGATAAGAAGTTCAGAATAAGGATATTTGAAGGTAAAATCCAGTGACTCATCCTTCATATGTGAGAACTCGCCTGAAACATTTAAAACGACTTTAGTGTTCCCAATATGCGAAAATTAAGTAAATATTGTGGAACCAGGAAGCAAAGCTTTGTGTTCATTATCATTTCCTCAACATATGTTCACCTAGCTACTTAAATAGTGGAAGGCTCACCATCATCGTCTTCATTTTGAAGTCTACCCCCGAAAATGGAAATAATGGAATTACGAGCCGTGTGAAGCAAATCCATGTGCGTTGAATGCTCTGTTTCTTTATACTCCTTCAAATTTTCTGATCGAATTCGCTTGTGGCTATTTCTCTGGCATCCAAACTACAAACAAGTTTCATAACGCTTGTTGCTAAATGAGAGCGATGAATAGAATAATTACAACAAATAAGCAGCCTAACGTGGCTATTCAAAAAATTGGTGAGTCAGCCCACTGCCGAAAACAATTCCCTAGTTAAATGTAACATGCACTAATAAGATTTTGTTATAAGTTAAAAAAGGATAAAGGGTAAACCTCTCTCGGCGGTGATCAATCCCTGAATGATGCGCTATGCACTCGACTTCACTAAGCATCGTTTGAAGGTGAATGAATGTATATCTGGACTTTACAATGACTCGTGGTGGCCTGCCGATGCATCGAGCCAGTGGTGCTATCGCCCCAGATAAGTCTTGCACCAATTTGCCGACCCCGGAGGAATAGAAGGCTCAGTGGGCTACGAGCCCGTGGATCGATTCCACTTGTGTGTTACAAGGCGCCTCCGATCACTGCGCCACACGCGCCCCTATATTCGTACCCTTGTGGGTTATCGTACGACAAGTTAAATCATTTAAATTAGAACGGCAGAAATAAACATGAAACAGCCTCAGGAGGCATCCAGGGTTTATCCATAGCTTATGAACTGTCTAGCAATTTTCAACCTAATGAGCATGAAAGGTCACTAGATTAATGCAGAAATAATAGCAGATTTCGAAACAAAGCTTTGAAATGTTATCAATCGATCTAAAATGAACCATATAAATGGTTTCGAATCAGTTTGCTGCATTGAGTAACATAGAATATTAAAATGATGCCAATGACGAGTTTCTTGATGGTCTTTAACACCTTGGCTTATGTGAGTTGATCCCCATTCATACGTGACACGCTCACTGGATGTTGTGAATTACACTAACTAAATACCTTAACTTTTAAACTACTATTTACTTTTTTCATGATAGGGTATTTTGCAAAATAAAGCCGGAAGGATGTTGTGATATGAGGAAAACACGAAATCTTAGATGAGCTTTGAACTCGCGATTGCCTTTCTCGGAGCTATACACCACCATCACCTGTACCCTTGCTTTGCCTTTCCCTCAGGCAATTTTGTACTTCAACGATGTTGCCTGCAAGCAGTCAACGAGAGTGATCTGGGGAGAATAAGTCGGTGTTGAACCGAATCGGCATTGAAAGCGAAGCTGTAGTTGAAATGATTCCGAATCACGATTTGGTGACGTGAAGCATCGTTACTTCGATGGAGTGTCAGCATAACTGGGTCCAATGTTGATTTGTGCCCCTATATTGTTCCCGTTGACGGGTGACTTTTGACACCAGTTATACATTAAAAACATGGCTGAGAGGAAGGCAAGGCTGGGACCTCGGTTGGGATAGTGGAGAGCACGTGAGCCGTCGGAAACGTTATCACGGGTTCGATGCTGTCTCCGTATCCTCGTAGTTACATTAAGTCAGTTCTCACTGCGGTGTTCCTCACTATTTAGATGAAGAAACTTGCCGAACTGGACACACATTGTGCGATAACGATGTAATTCTCTTGTTTTAAGAGCATCATTTCAACCAGACTAAGATTAGGATTGCTTAATCTGTACAAAGGGCGTGCACACCAAGTAGTTAAGTGAGAAATAAACTTTAAAATCTTTCTACTTCAGTTCAGCAAACACGAGGTGCTATTTTATTTCTTTATTTACGCACAAGCTGACGTTTCGGCGGATTTCGCCTTCCTCAGAGCCTGGAAGGGTCAAGTTGACAGCAATCCACTCGGCCAAACACCTCCATAACCAAACAGAAAAAACGCTAAACCAAGATTTCAATCACATTTAGCGCTCTGCACACTCACTGCTTTCTATGAGTCTTCCACTGAGTATGTCGAGTGAAGACCGACCGCACAGAATTCACATGGAAGCGTAATGTGCCCCTCCCATCAGAATAACAGGTTTATATACTGTCCAATATCACGCTTGATAACGAGGTATTCCTCCCTGCGGTTCATTTTCGGATTCTTGGAATTTATCCAGAATGCCTCTAGAGTTTTGCGCGCTTGTGTTCTCGATTCTTGCGCGAGGATCGTAACCCTTACTTCAAAATCTTCTCCGTTATGTTTCTGCGTGCTATGCGTACCTAGTGGAGTACTTAGCTTACGTTTGCCGACTAGGTGTTCTTTTATACGTAAGCAGAGTGGTCTACCCGTTTCGCCAGCGTATTCGTCCCCGCACGCTTTACAAGAGATCAGATAGACTGTACCCGAACTCATGCAGTTACCGTCTCTACCATTGGGGCAAATTATGCAATTTTGCGTTACACATAGACAGTCGTATAAGCGGTTACGAACTAGCTGGAGCCTTAGATTATTCGGTGGTATTTCGATTATCGTTACCGAATTCTCTAGACTGGCCCTTCTTAAACAGCATTTTATAGCTGCACTTATTTCATTTGAAATAAAGGGCAGTATAAACAGGACCTTGTTGTCGCTAGAGTTATCGTTGGGGTGCCTTACGAAACTTTAAAATATTATGCCACAATAATATCTCTGTACAATTCGTAATTACAACATATGCCATTGTTCTTGCATCGACCGAATACTCAGCAAAAAACAATGGAGAAATGCTCACCTGCTTCCGATTAGAAAACACGAAATATTTAGCCTTGAAATCTTCCTTAGTATAATTCGACTTATAGGCATGACCCATGAGATCTTCCATTATGTGACCAACCTTCAAAGCAAAGGTATTCACCTTTGTGAGATAATAAATCCTTCGCAATGATGCAAAGAGCTTACATCTGTCAATTTTATTTTATTCTGTTTTTTCGAAGTGATCCCCATTTTCGAACGAACGGTGTTCGATAGGCCTTTGTCCTAAAAGCAGTTACTAATGAAAATTAGCGACACAAATTGAGTCTAATCATTTTCTAACTTCCCGACCAGTGGTAAAATAATTCAGAAACGAAGTCGGAAACAACGGTAATTGAAGCAATTGAATAATAGGAAACCCATGATAGAAAAAGTTGAAATGTGTAAGCAAAAACACCTGCACAGAAGAACATCTCTGTCAACGATGAAGACCTACCAAGTTATAAAGATGCTCAAGGCGACTAAATGTCAAGAAACTGTGCATCGAAACGCCATTATCGAGCAGGAGTTGTACGAAATCCGTCCGGTCGTTGCTCAACGCTTCCATCATTGCGTTGTGCAGATCTTGTATACTCCAATCCTGAATATGTATTACCTTAGTGGTCTCGAGCGTTACAAAGGGTCATCATATCGATAGGCTTCTGAATACAATACCTACGTACCACTAATGACGCCAACAGTATGTTCATCTATTATATCTCAAATACAATATTTAAGCCGATTTCGGCCATTCTAGCTTGTGTTTTAGTCTAAACTGTTTATATCAGGTAAGAAACTATTCCGTAAAAACATCAGAGATGGCCATTCAGATTTCAAAAAATGGCGGTTTCAAATCATACAATTTTGAGCATCACTACTCGTCTAATATTGTCATGTAATATAATTACAAGATCAAATGCAGGGACAAGGTACTGTTTAACTTACTGTCTCCAGCGTGAAAATCTCCGAGCGAGCGATGTCTGCTCGATTCCATGCTAGTGCTAGCTGAAGTTGCTCAGAGGGACTGAGGTTCTGCCCTTTGAGCAGCGCCGTAAATACGGCGTGATCGACGTCTTGTCGCTGTTCGCCCATACGAAACACAGTTATCTCAAACAACACTATGAATGCCCACTCCATATCTCCCACTCGCTGAAAACTCAAGACAGAACTTACTAAGTCTCTTTGACGGGCACACTGTATAAGTTGTTGTACGATTCGATTTGAATTATTTTCGTCGCAGTTGAGCACCATCTCCACCAATGACACTAACTGGTGACGAACGGAGTCGGAGAGCCTTCTAAGAATTCGTCCAGAAGTTGAAATTGGAATAAGCAATAAGTTCCAACGAGATAATCGAGAGCTGAGTCGAAAGGACAGAAGCATAGGACTTTCGAACTATTTCAATCCGGCTGATTAAAATAAAAGAAAAGGAGACAGCTCCAACTAAAAGCAATTTTTTGTTGCCATTAATTTTAAGGTGAACTCTATGCTTTCCAAAAATAGATCCGCTTCGCTCCACATTTTGGCATATTTAACTTGGAATATTACAACTTTTATTACTTTATAGCAAACGAAAGGCATTAAAGTGTTACAACAAGAACTTTTTAGATACAACTTGACCAAAAACATTTGCAATAAATTCGTTTGACAACACCATTCACTCTGCGAAAAATTCTCTGCAGAGAAACTGGTACAGTCAACTGATCACTTAGTGGTATTCTGTAAAAAAAAAATATCTGGCTAACGTACCCTTCTTCACCAAGTGCATGATGAGTGAAGGCCAACAAATCTGCAGCGCCACCGCTACCATCGCAGATGACTACAGGGATATGAGGAATACTGGAATTCGATTAAAAACAGAAGAAGGTTCAGCATAGCAACTTAAGGAAATGCTTCAACTTCATGATAAGCAGACAAAACAACGATGATTGGTAACATTTTTGCCTATGCTGGTTGCAGTTAGCGTCGCAGTCTTCTCAGTTATACTTGAGAAAAAGATATGTTCGCCGTACATTAACTCCAAGAAAATCTAGCATTACCTGATTAAGATTAGCTCACATGTTTCCTATTCCTAACCATTTTTAACTACCAAACATTATGACCAAGAGCTGACAAAGTCCATAGGGAAGAAAGCTCAAACAGTTTAATACAAACACTTACGAGGCGACATAATCATAAACAACTTTGATAGTGAATGCTCCACCTTCTAGTACAACGCATACAACAGGAGTTGAACAGGAATTCTGTTGGGCAAGATATGTTTCTATACGTTTCCGTAAAATTATCTCAGGACCGTATCTGCAGTTCAAATTTTATACATTTGAAGCAGATCATTAATGAGCATTAAGATTACAAATGGTGGGAAAAGAAGCTTCAACACCTGCCGACAGTTCCGTTGTCAGCAAAGATGAAGTACGAATGACGATCATTAAGCTCAGCTAAACGAGATTTGCTGAATTGATTCGGGGCATAGTGGACTGAGATATCCTTAAACTAAGATTGTTGGATAGCAGTTTAAGTCCTTCTTGTTTCAAGAAGTTCTGTAATACTCACCGTACCTATAAAGCGACTCCTTCCTTTAAGCATGCCCCACGGTGCCACACCAATAGCGATTATCCGATTACGAGACCTTGAGGATGATCCAAGATCTATGAAGATGTTAACATAACTACACATTCAAAAGCTGTTGGTATTTACAAAGATTTAATTTGTTGAAACCATAGTCCCAAATTCGGTTGGAGTTATGGAGCGCAGAAGAAAATTGCAACCACATAACAAAACGTGCGAGTAGGCAGTACTTCTTAACAAGCAATAATAAATTTCAAATCTTCGTAGTTTAAATGATATTTGGTCCTCTATATTTCTACAGGCAAACTTAGATGAATGAGAATGGACAGTGGCCAGCAAATCAAAGAATTGGAAAGTAAACGATGAAAAACAAAGGAAACGTGAGGTGTTACCTTGCTCTTTAATCCGGTAAAGCTGATGTTTAGGCAATATCGCCCTCTTAAAAGCCTGGAAGCGCTTAATGATACGAAATTTACTACGCCAAACGCTTCAGTAACACAAAGTTGAGAATCTAAATAGCAATCACATTATCAACACCTACTCGAAAAACCCGCCGTTTCTTCTGCGTGCCTTCCAGCAAGGAGGATCAGCCGATTAGAGTCGCATATGGTTGATGACTACACCACCTCTGTGGCTAGGCCATTGCCAGGAACCGTAGGATGAATATCAGGGAGGAATGTCCAGAGATCACACGTGAGCTAGCCCATATCTTTGAATCGGCTTTCGATGTGGGATGGTGCAGTCATCGACCACATGCGACTCTGATCAGCGGCTCTTCCTCAGTGGAAGGCACGTAAAAAACGGTAGGTTTTGCAAGAAACTCTTAATCATGTGATTTGCATTCTGATTTTGTCCTTTCTACTTGTGCTATCGAAGCGTTTAGCGTAATAAATTCCATATCTATATTCCCTTCTAGGCTCTGAAGAAGGCGGCGCTGCCGAAATGTCAGCTTTACAACAATAAAGAATAGAGTAGTATATCGTGTTTGCCCAACAAGAATATCAAGAATTATTTGATCAATACGGAAGTGGATAGAAAGTCAGTCATGGGATAAAAACGCAATTTCAGACCGTCAAAAACGGGCGCGATGTGAGGCACGACACCAGCGTTCAGTCCAGAGGTGATGATCCAAGCATTGGTGGAACGTGCTACCTTCAAGATCCCTTTACGGAATATCCGAGCCAATTTTGGCTGTAAGCTGAAATAACTGTTGGATTTAAACCAATGGCCAGCTATCTCTTAGCTAAGTGACAGTATTCCTATCTAGTAAAATATAAACGATGTTAATATAAGCATTTAAGTACAAATTAGGAACTCAACGCTTTCCTAATTGCATTCCAGTTGCTAAGTTTCTTTGCTACCACAAGAAAGAGAGAAAGGACAGTTCTTCGTAAATTCTAGTAACACTTCTGCCATAAAAGTTTGTCGAGTAAAGACAAACAACTCGAAAGACCCGCTTTCTATAAACCTCGGCATAGAAAGTTGATACTGATCTCCTTAAGCTGACGCGAGGTTGGTACAGGTCTTCGTTGTCGTTGTCTTTGTTTTTGATGTTGTTAGTCGATCGCTGACGTTTCGGCGACTTCGCCTTCCTCAGAGCACTCCCACACGCAACATCATGGCTCTGGCTCTAGCCGGCAAAAATAGACCAAATACCCCGCTAGGCGCGCATAGGACCCAGAGACATAACGGGGACGACTTCGAAGTATGTGTCACGATCCTCGCACGCGAATCAAGAACACAGGCGCGAAAAACTCTCGAGGCACTCTGGATTAATTCCAGAAAACCGAAAATGAACCGCAGGGAAGAATGCCTCATTATCACGCGTGATATAGGGTAGTATATAAGACTGCTATTCTGATGGGAGAGGCACATTATACTTCCACGTGATTTCTGTGCGGTTGGTCTCTACGTGACATACTTAGTGGAAACCTCATAGAAAGCGGTGAGTGTGCAAAGCTGTGTTCAAAGTGATTGAAATCTTGGTTTGGAGTTTCTTTGTTTGGTTATGGAGGCGTCTGGCCGAGTGAGTTGCTATCAACTTGACCTTTCCAGGCTCTGAAGAAGGCGAAATTCGCCGAAACGTCAGCTTGTCCATGAATAAAGAATAGTAACACCTCGCGTTTGCTCAACAAAAATACGAAGAAAATCACTTGATCAATGCCGAGGTTAATAGAAAGTCGGTCGTGGCAGTTCCTGTGTTTTTAATATGTATCCCTTCCTTGATGAGCTTACACGAGGTTGACCCACATATTTACTTTTTTCGGCTAACGTTTCGACGTCCATCAGAACCGTCGACCCGAATCAATGGTCCACGCTTGGTATTTGTCTCGATGTGGTGGCTTCACCTTCGTGTAGAGTCAGGCCTTCCTCGGTGGGCCATCTCCTCGAATGAGGCATACTCACTCGGTGATGGCCTTTTATGCAGGATGCTGATGATGGATATAATGATTTTCCGGTGATAACAACTTGTTTTTCTTTCGAGCAATCCATCCTACAGGTCGGTGTTATTATCAAGTAGTACAAAGGGTAGTAATATTTCTGGCCGAGGAAGATCTGCCTTGTCACAAGGCGAAGCCGCCACATCGAACAACAAGCGTGGACCATCGACACCGATCATCGGCTCTGATGAAGACGGAGACGTCGAAACGTTAGCCGAAAAAATAAATATATGTATCAACCTCGTGTAAGCTCACCAAAGAAGGAATACATATTAATTTTTCACACCGGTTTAAACGAAAGTCGGTTTCGAAACATGTGCTTTTACTGTCCCATGGTTTTGGAGACGAACGTGATTGGGAAACTACAGCAGTCTTAATAGCCACTAAAAGCGGCATTTTTAATTACAATAATTCTTTTTTGACGAGCTCAACGAAAACTATTGTTAACCCACTCAAAATTTGTTAACCCGCCATGAATAGTGATGACCAGTTTCGGAGGTGGTAGCTTCCAAACTCCATAGAGCAGATCGCTAAGCGTTGCTGGCTCCGTGTCGGAGCTAGTGCGGACGAACTGAGCACGGGATTGGCGAGCAGATCCTTCAATTAAAACTCGTTCTGTCGAAGGACGAATATTAGAAGGATAGTACTTGTCTGGGTGCTTTTTCTTGTAGGCTATATGCAGGCTATTTGCAAGCTTTGATAGTTTGTTTGCACTTTATCCTATTCGGGATATGGTGGAGCCTATAGCTTCCTTTTTCAGCCCGAATGGGTGCGGGACATTTCCACCACACCGTGTATATTCATTCGACAGCTAATCGAAATCAAATAGAAATAGGAGGCGCGAGACCAAGAGACACAGTCTCTGCACTTAGGTTTTTTCCGAAACAAACTTCTTAAGATATATTCAACAACAGGTAATTTGACAAGTACTTAAATATAAAAATAACGAAATAGAGTTGAAATAAGAAGCAAAGCTTTTCTAAATGCTAGCAGCAATATAATGGCACGATGGGCCATGGTGAGAAATAGTGGATATTGGTGTACACCTCTGTCATATCCGTAGAACATACAGCGAAATCTCTTCTACAGTCTTATTGCGTTCACAATCTTTAAAACTCTGGAGCTGTCGAAAAACTGCGTTGTATCTTCTCAAAAGAAAACCAGCAAGTTCTCAGCCGAGAAATTCGTAATTCATTGGGTGAGCCACACAAACGTAAGCGCCGTCGCAAAAGCGTTATAATCGAATTCATGCTTTTATCTTGCGATGAATGATGAGTATTTCAACGCAAAAAAGACTATGGCTTCGCCTGAACTGCTCAGCCCTCAAATGGTCTGGGAAGTATTTCACGCAATTGAGAGGGTTGGCAGTGGGTCAGCGCCTGGCACCAAACCTTGCCATTTCCTTTGTATCCAAAATAGAAGCTCCAGTAGTTAATCTCTAATAATTAATCTGGTATAGCCTAAAAAACCCCAAGCCCCAAACAACAACTCTAGCGGTAATAAGGTTCCATTTATCCCGCCCTTCATTTCAAATGAAGTAAGTGCAGCTATAAAACGCTGCTTAAGAAGGCGGATCCAGAGAAGTCAGTAACTGTAATTGAAATGCTACCGAGTACTCTAAAACGCCAACTAGTGCGGAACCACCTGTATGGCCAACGTGTCTGGGTGTTACATGTCTGGGTTAATGCAAGCAGATTCAAAGATTTCAAGTTTTCACAATATTACCTGAACTCCTGACAATCACCGATCCAACCACCGAAGAAGCACGAATGAGTGTTAGGATAATCAATAGCTACATCATACTTGTTACTGTTGCCTGCATCCAACTATCCCACTTTGATTTTGTGCTTTTTGACCAAGATTCGAAATTTTTCCCGACATTGTGGAAATTCATTAGTCCTTCCACATCGTGGCTGAGAGGTGTCCCTGGGTGCTGGGCTGCGGTGTAGTAGAGGTGGATTCATCTCCCTCGCAGGGTCAATCAAGCTAAGAAGGAGTCCAGCGTTTCTAACAGGAAGCCTGGCTAAGAGTAAACTAGTATTAGGATCCACCACCGTCCTGGTATCAAAGTGGCATGGTGGCAAATCTCTCTCTGATCCACAACGGCCGCGATTGCCTGTGGTGATGAAGACTTGGGACAGACTTTGGCCAGGCTGACCTCGGGATTCCAGGAAACTATAATGACTTGACCAGTAAATCTCCGAAAAATGGAGATTACGTTGGGCCCCCGCAACCAGTGAGGACAGGCCGTTAAAGTATCAAGTATCAAATATTGTAAAAAGTAACTCCCACGACCGACTTTCTATTAACCTCGGCATTGATCAAGTAATTCTTCGTATTTTTGTTGAGCAAACGCGAGGTGTTATTATTCTTTATTCACAAATGAGCTGACGTTTCGGCGGATTTCGCCTTCCTCAGAGCCTGGAAAGGTCAAGTTGACAGCAATCTACTTGGCCAGACGCCTCCATAACCAAACAAAGAAACTCTAAACCAAGATTTCAATCACATTGAACACAGCTTTGCACACTCACCGCTTTCTATGAGGTCTCCACTAAGTATGTCACGTAGAGACCAACCGCACAGAAATCACATGGAAGTATAATGTACCCCACTCATCAGAATAGCAGTCTTATATACTGCCCTACATCACGCGTGATAATGAGGCATTCTTCCCTGCGGTTCATTTTCGGATTTCTGGAATTAATC